TGTGGGACCTCCGTCGTTAGTTTGCAATTGACCATCCCAAATTGGATTAATTATTAATTGATAAATCTCAAATTTTATCATCACCAATTTACCATGATTCACCTGGATTACGTAACCTCTAAGAAAATAACCAAATCTCCCAAAACTGATTTCATAAGGGCTAAACACGATTACAATTGCAAATATTCAGTCATTCAAATACAATATAAACATTCATCGTTCAAGCAAAGAACAAGGAAAAAGTAGAACCAAAACATAGTATTCCGTTTAAGCTATTATACATGATTATAGCTTCAAAAAGCCTTTTCCTCTGAAGCTCGCATTAATCAACCAATCTACTCCTTTCACAGTGACCTCGTGGCCTTGCTCTTTGTTATTTCCATTAGGAGCGTTGTTGTCGATTCATTGAATGGAGGGCGGCAGAGGAAGACCCCGCGATAAAGAGGATCGAGAACGGAGGAGCGGCAACGATCTTGGAGAAAGAGGGCGATCAGGGGGTCAGATTAGGGCCTGGCAATATAGATCTGGCGGAGCTTGGGACTGAAATAGAGAGTTCAATACTCTTGTTTTCAAATATGGAGATTTAGATAGATCTAGAATTAAGGAGGAGTTTTCCGTAGATGTGTGTTGGAAAGATCTAGAGATAGGTAGATATGAAGAGGCCTGAAGTATGGTTTGGCCATTGAAGGATGTGGGCAGATCTGAAAAGACAAGAGCTTCGCTAGGGGAAGAGGCAGAGAGAGGCGGAAAAAATCCAAAAGTACCACTCTTTAAAAAAAAAATTCCAAAAATACCACCCAACCCCAAAAAATTCCAAAAATACCACCCTTTTTCAAAAACCGCCACCCCACCCTGCGGTTTACACGAAAATCGTTTGTCGGAGGCGCGGTTTTCTATGCAAACCGCGGGCCTAGGTGGCGGTTATAAAAAAAAAAAAAATTTTGACCAACGGGCGCCACCCCCCAGATTGCTGATCCAGGCGAACAGCCAGGTGATAAGCTGATTTTACTGTGAAGAGCCCGTCACCCGTCTCATGCCAGACAATCCTATCAACAATCACCCGTCTAGGCAAAGGAATTTTGCAGATAGCACGACAGGTCTCGGGAGGGAACCATTCCCCCAGTTTCTCCGGTAACCAGCATCCCTCCGTCGGGCAAATGAAATCAGCCACCTTCATCTCCACTCCCTCATCTAAAACCCGAGGATTAAACATGGGTGGATCTGGGTGGAGTGCGGGCACCCAATTATCCGTCAAAGCCGCCACCCCTCGCCCATCTCCAACCTGCCATCTAATCCCCTGGGCCAGCAATTGCCTTCCATACAGGATACTCTGCCAACCCCAAGAAGGACTAGAGCGGGGAGTCGCAGAGAGGAAATCCCCCCGGGGAAAATACTTCCCTTTATACACCTGGGCGAGAAGGGACTGAGGATCAGTCAGGATTCGCCAGCCAATTTTAGCAAGAAGCGCTTGCTTGAAAAACTCGAATCTGCGAAACCCCATTCCACCCTCATGTTTCCTCTGACACATCCTACGCCAAGACATCCACCGAATGCGGGAGTGCCCGTCCTCGACACCCCACCAAAATCTCGCAACCAGCCTATCCAACGTACGACAAAGAGAAACAAGCAACTTAAAGCATGACATCACATGAAGCGGTAGCGCAGAAGCAACTGACTTGATCAGCGTCTCCCTAGCTGCCATGGACAACGATCCCTGCAGCCGGGCAATTAACCTTTCCTCCACAAAGCGAAACGTAGCCATCTTAGACCGAGAGATGAGGGATGGTAAACCCAGATATTTATCGTGAACCCCCACAGCCCCAACTCCCAGAATTTGGGCAAGGAATTCCTGATCATGCACGGTGATGTTCTTACTGAAGCACACTGCCGATTTTCCCAAATTCACCCGCTGCCCGCTGAGCTCCTCATACTCATTTAACACCACAATCAGATTCTCACACTGCTGAAGCGAACCTTGCAGGGATAAATAAGAGTCATCCGCAAAAAACAAGTGAGAGATCCGAGGAGCCTCAGGAGCTACTTTCACTCCCTCCAGCTTCCCTTCCGAGATGGCCTTACGAAGGAGAGCCGCAAAGCCCTCCGTACAAAGTACAAACAGGAGTGGAGAAAGAGGGTCCCCTTGTCTCAAACCCCGGGATGAGCGGAAGAAACCCGCTGGACAACCATTCATTAGAATTGAAAACTACGCCGAGCTAAGACACTCCCTAATCCAACCAATCCAAGTCTGGCTGCATTCACTTGCGTTAAGTCGATTTTAAATTTCGAGGAATGATGGCTCTGCAAGCCACATTGAGCTTTGCCGGATTCGTCGATGAAACCCCATTCCACCCTCATGTTTACTCTGACACATCCTACGCCAAGACATCCACCGAATGCGGGAGTGCCCGTCCTCGACACCCCACCAAAATCTCGCAACCAGCCTATCCAACGTACGACAAAGAGAAACAAGCAACTTAAAGCATGACATCACATGAAGCGGTAGCGCAGAAGCAACTGACTTGATCAGCGTCTCCCTAGCTGCCATGGACAACGATCGCTGAGCCCAACCCTGCAGCCGGGCAATTAACCTTTCCTCCACAAAGCGAAACGTAGCCATCTTAGACCGAGAGATGAGGGATGGTAAACCCAGATATTTATCGTGAACCCCCACAGCCCCAACTCCCAGAATTTGGGCAAGGAATTCCTGATCATGCACGGTGATGTTCTTACTGAAGCACACTGCCGATTTTCCCAAATTCACCCGCTGCCCGCTGAGCTCCTCATACTCATTTAACACCACAATCAGATTCTCACACTGCTGAAGCGAACCTTGCAGGGATAAATAAGAGTCATCCGCAAAAAACAAGTGAGAGATCCGAGGAGCCCGAGGAGCTACTTTCACTCCCTCCAGCTTCCCTTCCGAGATGGCCTTACGAAGGAGAGCCGCAAACCCTCCGTACAAAGTACAAACAGGAGTGGAGAAAGAGGGTCCCCTTGTCTCAAACCCCGGGATGAGCGGAAGAAACCCGCTGGACAACCATTCATTAGAATTGAAAACTACGCCGAGCTAAGACACTCCCTAATCCAACCAATCCAAGTCTGGCTGCATTCACTTGCGTTAAGTCGATTTTAAATTTCGAGGAATGATGGCTCTGCAAGCCACATTGAGCTTTGCCGGATTCGTCGATGAAACCCCATTCCACCCTCATGTTTACTCTGACACATCCTACGCCAAGACATCCACCGAATGCGGGAGTGCCCGTCCTCGACACCCCACCAAAATCTCGCAACCAGCCTATCCAACGTACGACAAAGAGAAACAAGCAACTTAAAGCATGACATCACATGAAGCGGTAGCGCAGAAGCAACTGACTTGATCAGCGTCTCCCTAGCTGCCATGGACAACGATCGCTGAGCCCAACCCTGCAGCCGGGCAATTAACCTTTCCTCCACAAAGCGAAACGTAGCCATCTTAGACCGAGAGATGAGGGATGGTAAACCCAGATATTTATCGTGAACCCCCACAGCCCCAACTCCCAGAATTTGGGCAAGGAATTCCTGATCATGCACGGTGATGTTCTTACTGAAGCACACTGCCGATTTTCCCAAATTCACCCGCTGCCCGCTGAGCTCCTCATACTCATTTAACACCACAATCAGATTCTCACACTGCTGAAGCGAACCTTGCAGGGATAAATAAGAGTCATCCGCAAAAAACAAGTGAGAGATCCGAGGAGCCCGAGGAGCTACTTTCACTCCCTCCAGCTTCCCTTCCGAGATGGCCTTACGAAGGAGAGCCGCAAACCCTCCGTACAAAGTACAAACAGGAGTGGAGAAAGAGGGTCCCCTTGTCTCAAACCCCGGGATGAGCGGAAGAAACCCGCTGGACAACCATTCATTAGAATTGAAAACTACGCCGAGCTAAGACACTCCCTAATCCAACCAATCCAAGTCTGGCTGCATTCACTTGCGTTAAGTCGATTTTAAATTTCGAGGAATGATGGCTCTGCAAGCCACATTGAGCTTTGCCGGATTCGTCGATGAAAGCTTTGTGTTGACTATGAATTCTTTGCGGGATACATGAAAGATATCAAGTGGTCAATTGTCCATTTTGTTATTTGTACTGGCTGTTGGGAGTTCGGAAAAAGACCCCTTATTTTGACTCTTGTGTAAGCTCCAAGTAGCAAAATTACACAATGCAACAGCCACTAAGTAATACAAGCAGTTACTGTTGTATTTACTCAGTGAGTGATTAACCAATAACCATCCTTCTTCGTTCTGCAACACCTTGTGATGGGAATGGACGGTACGGTGCGAGAATGAGTATTTGTGTCCGTCAGTTGAGTATAATAAGTAACTGCTTGGGTTTTTGGTGGTGCCGGAAAAACGTCTCCCCTACAGTCCACCGGAGAAGATCAAAGACGATAATCGAATCCCGCAGGCGATTAAGGAGAAGGGCGCTGAACCGTTGGAAAGACTCGTTGGTGGGTCAATTCATCGGTAAACGTCCTCAGGGGGGGGGGGGGCTACAGTCTTGGGCTAATCGATTATGGGGGAGAGACAGTGTGGTACATCTTTCGTGATTCGGTCCTATGCTTCTGGTTTTCCAATTTCCTTCGTCTTCGTCGTGTGATTGAGTTTTCAAGTCTGGTCCGTGGCACTTTTTGTGGGAAATCCTGTCTCCTTTCATAAATGGGAGGTGGGGATACAACCAATTGCGCCAAGAGTGGAGACGCTGCCGATTTGGGTTAGAATTGGGGGATTACCCCTTGAGTATCTGGTCAGATGGAATAGAGTGGGTTGCGAGCACGGTGGGTAAGCCTTTATGGACAGACAAGAAGACGAGATTTGGGGACTAGTTAGGGTTCTCTAAAGTCTGTGTGGAGCTATCAGCTAACTGTGAGTTTCCTCGGCGTATCAAGTTGTATCCTGATAATGATCCGGACTTTGAAGTGGGGGTTGATTATTCGCACCTCCCTAAAGTTTGTTCCTCCTGTTGTATGTTTAGGCATAACTGTCAGCAAGAACCAAAGAAGCAGTGGAAGCTCAAAGAAGGTGCTGGGGCAGAAGATGAGTGTACTGGTGAGGAGACACATGTTGTTAGGGATGAGTGTGATGCAGCTATAGACCAGGTAGTTGTGGGTGTGGAAGAGGCACAGGGTGCTGCTGTTGTTGGTAATCTAGGAAGTGATGAGGAAGGCAATGAAGTGGCTGATCCTCAGGGAAGCAAAGTTATACAGAGCAAAGAGGTTGAGATTCCTATTCTTTTAGTAGAAGATGGCAAAGCTCCTTCCTCAATTGGGAGCCCGCCACTGAGTTTTGCCCAAATTGTAAGGGGATCACCGCCTTTGGGTGGGAGTCCTTCTGAGATTGGGCATTCAACTGAGCTTGGTAAGCCACCATATTCTGGGAGTTTACAGGCACAGTTGACTCAGGTAGTTGCATCAAACTCAATGCTTGTTTCAAAAGTGATGTCAAGTTAGGCAATGGAAGCACACTGGAAGTTCAAGGGAAGGGAACTATAAAAATGACAGTTGATGGAGTTCCACTTATCATTTAGAATGTGTTCTATGTCCCTACCCTGAAATCAAATCTTCTAAGTGTGGGTCAAATGCAGGAAAAGAACTTGGCTTTCACAATCAGGAATGGGAGTTGCAAAATCTATCATGAGAAGCATGGTTTATTGCTTCAAATTTCCATGAAATCAAACAAGATGTTTGTTCTGCAAGCAAAGCAACATACTTGAGATGGCAGTCAGTGCTTGCAGACTGATATTGTACATAATGACACACTGAATCTATGGCATAAGAGGTTTGGTCATCTAAGCAGGTCCGGCTTGATGCAATTATAACGTGGAAGGCTGGTGCAGGGACTCCCCAAGCTGACTGGTGAACTTGTGGTATGTGGAACCTGCATGGTTGGAAAGCAGTGCAGAAGCAAGTTTTCAAAAACAGGAGCATGGAGCTGTCAAACCACTCCAGCTTCTGCATGCTGATTTATGTGGCCCCATCACTCCCACTTCCAATTAAGGGAAAAGGTACATCATGACCCTTACTGATGATTATAGCAGAAAGTTGTGGGTTTTCTTTTTGGATTCAAAATCAGAAGCTTTGGCTTGGTTTAAACGTTTTAAAGCACAAGTAGAGAATGAAACAGGCAGAACCATTGCTTGCCTCAAAACTGATATGGGTGGAGAGTTTCTACTGCATGAGTTTAGAAATGTGTGTGAAGAAGCAGGTATCAGGAGACAGTTGACAGCTTCCCTCACACCTCAGCAAAATGGTGTTGCTGAGAAGAAGAACAGGACTATCATTAACACTGTTAGGTCCTCACTGGAAGATACAAAGGTTCCCTCATCCTTCTGGCCTGAGGTTGTAGATTGGGCTACACACATACTGAACATGAGCCCAACTGTAGCCAACAAAGGCAAAACACCACAAGAAAGATGGACTGGGAAGCCTCCTTCAGTGAATCATCTTAAAGTGTTTGGTTGTGTGGCTTATGCCCATTTCCATGATAGTTTGAGGAAGAAACTGGATGATAAAAGCATCAAATGAAACTTTCTAGGAAATTCTAAAGCATCCAAAGCCTACAAGCTTTATAACCCTGAAACAAAGAAGATTGTCATTAGCCGTGATGTGATCTTCAATGAGAAAGAGGGTTGGTCATTGAAACCTGAGGAAAAGCTATCCAGACTAAGCTAACATGGAATAGAGTGAATAAGCCTGGTCTGAATCAGAAGAAGGAGGGGAGAAGGAGAGAATGAAGAAGAAGGAAGTGGAAGTGATGCACCTACTGTAACAAAAGAGGAGACTGAAGGCAGTTCAAATTCTGCAGGTTCTGAGACCTCATCTGCATAACCAATCACACCACCACCACCAAATGCAGAATTGGACGAAGAAGAAGAAGTAACAATGACTGATGCATTAAGGATACCTATTAACAGTGATTTAGGTCCTAGGAACAGGAAGTTTCCAAGCCGTTTTGGAGACTTTGACTGTTCTTGTATGCCTAATCTGACATTTACTGAAACTGATATGTGGGCTCTAGTAGCTGTTAGTAGTGATCCATCCTCGTTTGAAGAAGCAGTGGTGGATGAGAAGTGGAGAGAGGCTATGAAGCAGGAGATTGAATCAATCAATCAATCGAAACCTTACATGGATCTTGGTTGACAAGCCAGCAGGAGTGATTCTAATTGGAGTCAAATGGGTGTACAGAACAAAGCTTCGGGAAGATGGGACAATTGACAAGTTGAAAGCCAGATTAGTGGCAAAGGGTTATGCTCAGAGACATGGATTGAACTATAATGAAGTGTTTGCACCAGTTGCCAGATGGGACACCATCAGAACCTTTCTAGCTCCTCCTGCACAATATGGAATGACTGTGTATCAGCTGGACATCAAGAGTGCATTCCTGCAAGCTGAACTTATAGAGGAAGTCTACATCGAGCAGCCACAAGGATTTGAATCCCTAGAGAAGAAGGGAAAATATATAAGCTGCGAAAGGCCTAGTATGGCCTAAAGCAGGCTCCTACGTCCTAGTACAGTAGAATGAAGACTTACTTTCTAAGCAATGGATTTGAAAAATGTGAGTTTGAGCACACTTTATTTGTGAAAAAGAAGATGAATGATGTGCTAATGGTTAGTGTATATGTGGATGATCTGATCTATGCGAGCACCAGTCCTAAGATGCTGAAGGAGTTCAAAGAATCAATGGAGGCTGAATTCGAGATGACAAACCTGGGAAGAATGAAGTTCTTTCTACGTGTAGAGGTAAATCAAACACCTACTGGCATCTTCATTTCTCAGCAAAAATATGTTCGTGAGTTGTTGAAAAAGTTCCATCTAGCAGACTGCAACCAAATACAAACATCTCATTGGGAGTTCGTTATATGCAACACCCACTAGACCTGATACAGGTCTAGTAGTGTGCTTGTTGAGCAGGTATATGGATAAGCCTACAAGACAACATGTTTTAGCAGCAAAACGAGTGCTTAGGTACTTAAAGGGGACACTGAAGTTTGGCATTCTGTATAGAAAACAAGAAGAAGGAGATTGCTTGCTTGGATACACAGATAGCGATTATGCTAGTGATTTGGATGACAGGAAGAGCACTAGTGGTTACACCTTCTTTCTTGCAAGAGGAGCAATCTCTTGGAGCTCAAAGAAGCAGCTTGTTGTTACACTTTCAACTATAGAGGCAGAATTCGTGGCTACATCCTTTTGTGCTGCTCAATGCGTTTGGTTAATGAGGATTGTAACTCAAATGGGATGGCAGGATTGTGTGGAAGGAGCAACAAAAATTATGTGTGACAATAGCTCTGCTATTAAATATCCATAAAAAAATAGATCTGCTATTAAACTCTCCAAGAATCCGGTTATGCATGGCAGGAGTAAACATATAGATGTGTGTTTTCATTTCTTGAGAGAGCTAGTCAGAGATGGAACGATTGAATTAGAGCACTGTGAGACTAGAGAACAGATTGCAGACATTATGACTAAGCCCTTGAAGCTAGGCACTTTTCAGCTACTGCGTAGCAGGCTTGGTTTGATTAATGGAGAAGAATTGGAAGTTGCAGGTTGATGAACTAAGCTGCTTGCAGATGCTTCAGTTCAAGGGAGGCTGTTAAAAATTGAATTAGCCGTTGAAGTAGTCATTGTGGCACATTATAGTTTGGTCATTTTCTGTTTTGTTTTAGTCATTCATGTTAATGAGTTAAGTTAGGAGTCTTGTTGGAGTTGTTAGCTGTTTTCCAGCAGTAGTTGAGGTCAAGAGTCATTGGTCATGATCTCTGATGTTCAGGGATCTATGATCCAGTTTGTTGAGAGTCTCTGAGCTTGGAGTGACTCTGATTTGTATTTAAGCATTCATTCAAATCAATAAAGACTGTCAGTTTGCTTCCTATTTGCTTTCAACTTTAACATATATAAATAGGTGGTTCTATCTCCAAGTTTTTCCAAAATGTAAAATTAAATCCATGGCCTTCCCCTTATCTCCATCATATTATAACACTTGTTTGAATCCTAAAGGGTTTGGTCAACTTTCTGATTCTTTTCTTCTACAGGACTTTGAGAATTATTATTGTTGTGTTAAGAATTATGAGTTATTATATGGATTAAAAGGAAATGATGAATTAGCTCAGTTGATAGTGAAGATAACATTACTAAATTTATCATACCTATGAGTCTATTCGACTCCAAGGTTGTTCTGCCTACCAATCAAGCTCTCGTACATTGATTTCACTCGGAAGCAGGAACTTGGAGATGGCTCCCAAAACAATCTTGAAGGACCTGCAGAGAACAAACCCGCCCCGCAAACCATGTTTGAGGGTGTTAGGATATGACTTGAATTTGATTTGTGTTTGTTTGGTGTTTTGGGCCTATTTTGTTTGGGCTTTGTGTTTTGGGCATATTTTGTTTGGGTATTGTGTTTGGGCTTTGTTTTGGCCTTTTCCTTGTAAGTTTGGAAAAGGTGTTTGCTTTTCTGTTCGGGATTAGAAGAAGAGTTCTATACATACTTTTCATCACCCTAGTCTTTAGTAAGGTCAGTCATATTAGTTTGTTTGGTTTGTCCGTCGAGAAATTGGTTTGTAAGCTGTACTCTTCTCAAATCAGTGAAATTTGTTCTCCCCTGCCCGTGGATTAGCTAGCACACATTGTGTTAGTGAACCACGTTAAATTTGTGTTCGTTCGTGTTGATTTCGATTATCGACTACACGTTTATATTCTGACAAGTGGTATCAGAGCCTGGTTCTCGATCTAATTCAAGGGAATCGGCGTTGATAAATTTGTGGTGCCTGGTTGCGGTTATTGGTTGTTTGAAATAAATTGATTTGAAGTTGCAAGTCTTCTTACGAGGAGCATTCGCCTGCTGTCTGGAATTCGTTGGTGTTGTGTTGCTTTTCTTTAATATTTCTTACGGACGTTGCTAATTTGGAATTGGGGAATTGTTTGGGTGGTAGTTATCACTTATCACCCAAGTGATAATTTGGTATAGAGGAATTTTTTGAACATATAGAGAAGCATCAATTGGAAATTACTAGAATTTTGTTTCTTGTGATTGGATTTGTACACTCGGCGAAACTTTGGGTTTCTTTTGCGCCAGTTGGAATACTTTGAAGGTTGTAGCAGTTTGAAATTGTGTGCTTTGGTTTATTTTGGAATTATTTGGTTGAGGTTAGGGTTTTCGATTATCAAGGATGTTTGTTATGGATTTGAAGATTGAAAATCAATTTGGAGCTACAGGTTTGAAGTTAGAGTTATAAATGATGTTGGGGTTATCGACGAAAATAACACCAAGCTGGTTTTGCATGGCAAGTCCCAACATGAGTTGGACTTACTACATGTTTTGATTTGTTGATCGCCCTTAGGGGCATTTGGAGGCAGGGGAGGTTCTGATACATTTGGAGATTTGGAGAGTTTGGTACTTCTGACAATTTTTATTGCATTTGAGTTTGGTGATATACATAGCATTTGAGTCTGGT